AGCCTCCCAGAGTGTTGGGATTACAGGTGTGAGCCACAGCACCTGGCCCAACATCCCAGACTCCTCATGAGTCTATGATGCCTGCCTTTTCTTTCCTTCTTTCCCTTCCTTTTCTTTTTCTCTTTCCTCCTTTCCCATCTCTCCCTCCCTATCTTTCTTTCTTTTCTTTCTTTTTTTTTTCTGAGACGGAGCCTCAAGCTATCCCCCTGGGTAGAGTGCCATGGCTTCACAGCTCAGAGCAACCTCCAATTCCTGGGCTCAAGCGAGTGGCCTCTGCCTCTGCCTCCCAAGTAGCCGTGACTACAGGCGCCCTCCACAATGCCTGGCCATTTTTTGGTTGCAGCCATCATTGTTGTTTGGCAGGCCTGGGCTGGGGATTCAAACCTGCCACCTTAGGTGTATGTGGCTGGCGCCTTAGCCGCTTGAGCCACAAGCGCCGAGCCTCCCTCCCTATCTTCCTTCCTTTCTTTCCACATTCCTTCCTTCCCCCTTTCCTCTCCTTTTTCCTTCTTTGCATTTCTCTCTCTCTCTCCTATTTTAGGGGAAAACCCTAGGTACAATTTCCAGTCAAGAGGCCTCTACCATTTTCCAGGTGTAATTAAAGGGTGTTTCTGAGGGGAATGGGCAGGATGAAAGAAGGAAATAAACATTTTGACTATTTAGTTGGTGTAAGCAGCATGGTAAGAGCTTTGGTTATGTTTTGCCTCATTTAATCCTATGAACATCCATAAAAATTAGGTTTTGTCATTTTGTTCACTTAGGTATCTCGATCAATGTCACATGGTTTTTAAAAGACAGAGCCAGAGTAAACCACGGTCTGTTAAGTTAAAGTTTGGTGCCAACTTGCATTGCTGATTGCTATTATCTTCTAGCTTTATGCTACACTTTTCAGTGTAATAGAGAAAATGATCCCTTTTTGGGGTGACATTAGTCAACCCCTGGCTCAAAACCCAATAGTGGTCAGATAGGTAATTCTACTTGGCTTTCCAAGTCTTTTACAATCTGCCTTTCTTTTATTTGGTCATTTTAATTTCTCATCACTCCCTTTTTGCACTCTCCCTTCTTCTGGGATTTTTATCATTGCTATCCATTAATTAATTTCCACTTCCACAGTTTCTATTTTCTTCTAATCAAGTTGTCTATGGGTTTGGAGAATTAGGTTCTCAAACACATCCTAGAAAAAGTGCTACATACCTCACTGCTGAATATTACCAAGGTCACCTTCAAAGTACTCCCCTTGGGAAGCCAGGCACTGATGCCAGCACCCAGTCCACCCTTTTTCTTTTCTTTTTTGAGACAGAGTCTCACTGTGTCACCTTGGTAGAGTGCCCTGGAGTCATAGCTCATAGCAACTTCAAACTCTTGGGCTTAAGCGATGCTCTTGCCTCAGCCTCCACAGTAGCTGGGACTACAGACGCCCACCACAATGCCTGGCTACTTTTTTGTTGTAGTTGTCATTGTTAAGCAGGCCTGGGCTGGGATCGAACCTGACAGCCCCAGGTGTATGCGGCCGGCGCTGAGCTACAGGTACCGAGACCCAGTCCATCCTTTGAAGCACAGCTTTGGGTGCATAGCTTCTCAAGGGGAGTACTTTGAAGGTCACCATAGTGATATTCAGCAATGAGCTATGTAGCACTTTTTAAAGGATGAATTTGTGAAATTAATTGTCTGGCCTTGTACATCCTTCCATGCCCAACTTAAGTACCTCCTCATCCATTCATCATCCATTTCTAGTCCTCATTCAGCTCTTGCAGCCCTGCTCAAAACCTTTTGTTTAAACCTCTTCTCCGCTAAACAAAACCAAGGCTGCTTAGCCTGATAGTCAAGTCAGCCATCCAGCTGCAGACATGTGCTGAGAGTCAATTATGTGCTAGGCACTCCCTGGGTGCTGGAAGAACCAGACAGACTGGTCTCCACCCTTATGATGAACACAGTGGGCATTAAATAATTACAGATAATTAATTACATAATTACTAGTGTGAATCAAGACATTACACGGTCCTCTGCATATCTTTTCAGAGTTCTTTTTCCATCCTTCTATTCCATCCAAATGGGTCTATATTTCCAGGTTTTCCTACCTGTGTGGCTGTGCCCACCCACTCCCTCTTTTACTGGATGGACTCTGGGATTTACCCAAGATTCTGGTCTTCCTTCTTCCCTGAAGCCCGTCTAGACAAGTTTACTCTGAAGGATCTTCCCTCATTTGAATTCCTAGCACTTATGCATTCAATAGCTATTTACTGTATGACTTGTTGAAATGTTTGATGACTAACTCTTCATGAAATCCTGAACACATGGTATGGCATTAAAGATTTAAATTGTATAGGGAATTAAGAGTTTTCCTATTGAGAAGGATCAAGGATTTTTTTCTCCCTCTTCCCTTCTCCCAGAGAGCAGAGAGAATCTACAAAACTATCTAGAACATACAAAATTACAAATAAGAAAATGACAATAAAATTACCCAAGGACTCATAATTCTACTACTTAAGGAGACATACCACTCTGACGTTTTTCTCTTTCAATACTTTTTACTGTTTGTTATTCTCTTTGTGTTTACACCCAGTTCATAAAACTTCTTTTCCACTCAGTTAAAACTTTTATCAAGAGAAATTTTTTCTTATGGGCTTAAAAATATACAAAGCACGTTCACCTTCACTCCTTTGCTCTCTTCTGCTTGTGGGTGGAGTGATTTTGAATTTTGTCTTATGGATGACCTAGAGAATTTACTCAGATACATCTATCTTTTCCAGTTTACTAATTCTGAGTACAGTACGAACCTGAACATTGTTTTAGGGCCTTTACTTCAGAAATCCTTTCTCAACACCCTCTTCCTTTTTTTTTTTTTTTTTTTTTTGTGACTAGATCTTGTTCTATTGCCCAGGCTAGAGTGTAGTGATATCATGAAAGCCCACTGCAACCTCCAACTCCCAGACTCAAGTGATCCTCCTGCCTCAGAGCCTCCAAAGTTGCTGAGACTACAGGCATGCACCACCATACACAGCTAGTTTTTCTATATTTTGTAGAGATGAGGTCTTGCTCTTGCTCAGGTTGGTTTTGAACTTCTGGCCTCGAGTGATCCTCCTGCATTGGCCTCCCAGAGCACTAGGATTATAGACTTGAGCCACTGTGCCTGATCACTTCCCCTTTCTTCTACAAGATCTCAAATCTGTGGGATGCCTAAGTATACAGTATAGTCATATTTGTGGCATGGTATACAGTGTAGCCGTATTTGTGGGCAAAACACAGAACGTCCAGGCTGTGAGAACAAAGGGGATCTTCCTGCTCACTCCTTTCACACCAGCAGACTGCCTAGTTTAAGCTCTTTGCCAGGGTGGTGCAGCTGCCTGGTTATCTTTCCAAATTCCCTCTCCCCCCTCAAACTAAAATTAAGCAAAAGCACTAATCCCTTCTGCTGAAGGGGAAAAGGTAACAAAATTTGGTAGAGATTGGCCTAGATTCGTCTGTACTGGCTTGTTTTTAAATTTTAGAGAACCTTTCTTATCAGAAGTTGACTCTGCTATGATAGGATTAAAGAAGAAACCTATGGGCCACCTATCTCTTTCTTAGTGTGGGAAACATGGAGTATACAAATGGCATGTAGGAAGAGGTCAACGCTTGCTCAAGAGCTGCAGCATCGTTTTGCATAATATACAGTATATCCTGCTTTGGTTCTATCTAATTTGATCTCTGCAGACGTCACCATGATCCAAAGTGCAATTCCAGAAGGGAAAGGAAACTCAAGGGTTGTAGAAAAGATGATTCACTTCAGAGAGACCAAGTCTGTTTGACCACAGTATTCCCAGTCTCAGTTTGAAACACCAGGAAAGTGGTCTCTCGCCTTTCTAAATTCTAATAATGATGACATTGTAATTTCTTCTCACGGGAACCTATGGAAGGGCCAGTCGGAGGCGAGAACTGTGGTTTTCAGAGGTCTTCTGAGGAACAGTCCAATGACCCTAAAAGGAAGGAGGTGAAAGGCTTCGGGGTGGGAGTGTGCGTGGGGGGGAGCGGAAGCTGATGCACCAGGTTGGGCTGGGGCAGAACCACATCTAGGGAAGGAAGAATCCAACTGTAAAAGGGATCGGGGAGAAAGCGCTCGCCCGAGGTGCACCCCAGCTCCCTCCTCCTCTGCTCACTTTCAGAAGCGCCTTTAGGATGGGAGCCCCTACCACAGCAAACAAAGGAAGGACCTCCTGTCCGGCGCTTTCAGTCTGAATGAAGGCTCGGCGTTACCTTTCCGGGTACACCCTTCCCTCTCAGCGCATCCAATGGGGCCCGCTCCTCCTCCGCGGGGAGGTGTTGAACTCTCCCTGCAAACGGACAGGTACCGCGGACCAATGGCAGGAGCTGCGGTGAGCCAATGGGAGAGAGAACTGGGTAGACCTGGGTTTGAGAATGAGAGTCCGCAAGAGGGGCGGGACGAGGCGGAGGCGCGCCGAAGGGGCCGGGGGAGAGGGACCTGCGGGGTGGCTGCCGGTGGCTGGCCCGCCGCTCCAACCGCGACCATAGGAACCTGCGCACGGGTCAGCCGCGGCCAATGGGAAGGCGAGCTGCGCGGGGGGCGGGCCGAGCTCTGGACGGCCGCGCCCCCTCGGGTCCGCAGAGCTGGGGCGGAGCCAGGCTCGC